AAAGTAGTAGTAGTAGTAGTAGTAGTAGTAGTAGTAGTCGTAGTAGTAGGAGGAGTAGCAGTAGCAGTAGCAGTAGCAGTAGCAGTAGCAGTAGCAGTAGCAGTAGCAGTAGCAGTAGCAGTAGCGGCAGTAGTAGTAGTAGTAGTAGTAGTAGTAGTAGTAGTAGTGGTAGTAGTAGTAGTAGTAGCAGTAGCATAAGTAGTTATAAAAATAGCAGCAGCAGCAGCAGCAGCACAAGTATGCGTCGTCGCAGTGTGGCAGTGACAATGGCAGCAGCAATGGCGGCGGCGGTGGCAGTAGCAGTAGCAGTTTCAGCGGCTGCAGTCGGAGCAGCAGCAGCAGCAGCAGCAGCAGCAGCAGCAGCAGGTGTTGCTGTTGTTGTTGCTGCTGTTGCTGCTTTTGTTGTCGTACTACAGTAGAGGAATGCGGAGCAGCAGGAATAGCAGCAGCATTAGTTTGCGCGAAGGTTGTCGGGGCGAACAGACGATGCATGAAGGCTTCACTATCCTCCCGCGAACGCCACCGACTGACTTTTCTGGGGCTGAAGCGCGTCGTCGAGAGTCCAACAGCATCACAGGAAGTTATGTATAGCATCGAAAGGAACATGAAGACAACAGTGTGCGATGGTAGCAAGTCTGAGGCTTGGGTTAAGCCAGCCCTTGCATCTTGAGGTTCAATTGCCAAAACAGGTCACATGTCATTGCACAGTGCAGCCAACGAAAGGTCGAGCAGGCTCTGCCACTAACTGCGGCGATGGGAGGCTCTTCAGCTTTGAAAGAGCATGGAAAATTGCATAGTCCATGGCGGCATCCACACCCGTTCCATCTTCTGCAGAGGTTTCGAAATAGGCCAGACCGTTCGTAAGGGCAAACTGCTCCGCTTCTTTGTGCGAAACTTTCCGCTGGGCCATCATGTCGGCCTTATTGCCGATTAACAGCTTGGCTGGCATGGTTTGCACGGGGTCATGTTGCACCCATCTGCGAAGGGCTCGCAAAGATTGAGGGTTGGTGAGGTCGATCACCAGAAGGAGGGCATCCATTCCCAGGAGGTAAAGCGATGAAGGCAGCCCTGCCGGCCAAGTGTCCCGAAGGAGAACCCTCAACGGCGTATCATCAGCCAATACCCGTGCGAACGGGATCTCGACCATGGCCCGCCCATGTTGCGAATGGTTCGTGGAATATCGGAAGGCCAGGCTCGTCTTCCCAACGCCACTTTCACCCACAACAGCAAATTGCACCAGCCGGCATTGGTTCGGTAAGGACATCACACGCTCTGCATGCTGTACTTGCAAGATCTCCTGCATCTGTACGAGTGGCGGACTTGGCAAATTCAGGTCTCTGAGGAGTTCTGACTCCTCTAAGGCCCTGCCTTCCAAGACAAGGGTTCTCTTCAGCGTGGGGTCCAGCGTCCCATCGTGCTGGATCGCAGCCAAGATGTCGGCGACGCTAGCCGTCTCCGGCAGCTCGACTTCACCCAGCAGCTTCCCAGACAACTGCACGACACGCACCCTGTACTGCATGGCCGCCATGGCTGGACCTACGCCCCCTGAAGTGTACACCACATTTTCAGAGCATGGGGCTAGCTGGGCCATCGGCACACCTCCACTCCGAGCCAGCCAGCCTGCGAGGACTAGCGCTTGCAAACTGTCAACCGTGGGTCGAGATCACTAAAATCATCGTCCGCTTATTCACCCTTTCGTGATTGAACCCGATGCCGCCAAGGATCATAAACTTTCCTTCCCTGCAGGCCTCCGGAGCACGGCAGATCTGTGCCGAAGCGCAACCCAATCCATGCTTTATGATATTCTCTTTTGGAGTGGAACGTATTCATTTCGCGGTGAAAGGGAGCTTAAATGCAATCTAGCTGGGGGAGCAGGCCAGGCTCACAGCGCTTACTCTTTTTCAAAGCAGGTGATGAAGCTCTAGCCAGCACTGTCTGATACTGTCTGTACTGGAACCTGCACTCACATTCCTGTGGGTCGAGATGGAGGTTCTTGCCAAATCCTCAAATTTCGGTCGGGCCTTTGCTGCAGAGGTAGTCGCCAGCCGCTATGGAAGAAGTCATTATTTCAGCCTTCTCCGCGGTCACCCCCATCTTGCTGAACAGTTGCATCAGGTCCTGGCCGTACACGGCACAGAGCCCAAGCGCTTGAAGCTTAAACCCGAAGAGTCGAAAAGCGATGCACCCCAGAGGTGGTTTCAAACCAAAACCTCTGCACTTATAGAACCTATAGCATCCTAGCCTTTGAAGGTTGAGGGCTTTCTTCAGAGAGACTTTGAGGCTTATCCCACGGCAGTGTTTCGTGTTAAAGACTTCCGCTCAGGGGCTACTGCTACTTGCAGGGGGCACGGGGGCCGCTTCGCCCCGATGTCGCTGCTACAGCCTATTGGTTTCAGGGGCCTTACGGGCTGCGGATGTAGGGTTAGAAATGGTCCCAGGGTGTTGGGTGCAAGTGCAAAAGACGGCTGGGGTAGGTTCACGAGGACAGGGTCTCCTGTCCTCTTGGCTTTTCGTCGCATTGTTGGTCATGAAGAGGACCTTGAAGCTGAAGCCAGCAAACCCAGGGACGAAATAGGGTTTGGCTACAGTACAAGGTGATCCCTAGACGTTCCCTAAACCCGACCGAAGAGGAGAGAGAGATAGAGAGAAAAACAACTAGATGAAGAGTTATTTACATGTGTGCAAATATACTGTACTGTATATGTGTGTGTATGTGTATGTATGTATGTATGTATGTTTGGTTGTATGTTTGTATGTATGCATGTATGTATGTATCTACGTATGTATGTATGTACGTATGTATGTATGTATGTGGGGGGTGTATGTATAACAGAACAAACACAAACACAAATTCAGAGGAATATAAGTTCAACACAGAAATTATGTGCAAATATATATATATATACAGTTATATGTAACCAGTGCATAGTTATGTATGTGTATGTGTATATGTATAAACAAAGAAGGTGAAGAGTCCAAGGTCGAGCGGTCAGAACAAGCACGGATCCCACATGCTCTCATTGGGATGAGGCCATCGTAAGAAGGCAACACCACGCAATCAACAACGGCAATAACGATGTTTGTGCCAGCCAGGCGACAGAACATCAGGATAGACTGAACCACACTGAAACACAACTTCGGGCTAACTTATTGAATCAGTGTGTAAAAGTGCCAGTGAACGGAAAGACCCAGCATGACCTGGAGCTTCGTACCTAAACGCTAAATATCCTTTCTTGCTGCAGGCTTGCACGTAGGGTGATGGTGTTTTCAAGCGCCATGGTTCAACACATGGAACGGCGTTATTCAGCACTTGCGCCGGATTCATCGAGAACAGGTCGGGATTATCAGGCGCAAGGCGGGTGGCTTCTCAGGCACACGGAAAAGATTTTGCAGACACGCGCAATGGACTCCCTAAACAAAACCTGCACATGTGAATGATAATTCTCGCGCATGTTCTTGATCATTAACGCGCATTTCTTTGATAAATCGCGAAATTGTGTCTGATAAACGTGGCTTTTATTCCCGAACCATGGATCCCTTTGCATGCAAGAAAGCCTGGTTGGTAGCCACTCTTCCGATATCCCTAAACCCTTATCAAGGAGCCGCCACGACGTTGGCCCAGGCACCGTCTTCCCAGCGGCACGCAAGGCCTCCAACAGCAAGACCGAATCTGCAAACTCTGAATCTATGACCCCTGGCTCGGAAACCTCGAAAGGAACGAATGAGAAAAAAGCACGGGAATACATCTCTTAATTCGCCACTCCGCACAAAGGTCCAGACAAGGTTCTTCATTTTGCTCCGGGTCATGTGGAAAGCGACATCAACACGCGTCTTCTTACTTGCGCTCAGGCGTGCGGCAGTTTCGGGAAGAGCGGAGGCCCGAACTTGAAACCATATGCTCTCCGAAGGAGACTAAACCCTGATACTGACCCATCGTAGCACAGCTGACATTTGACTATCTTTCCTTTCAGCTCCTTAGAGCCTGACACGCTGACCTCCACAGCTTCTCCAGCGCCCTGCACCGGAGTACCGGCATTGTGGATTACACCGTCGATGTCCTCAGTTAGGATTTGACTCTCACGCTAGGCAGAACCAGGCTGGGCTTTCAGCACTTGTCTGGGCACAGCCCCGAGAGGTTCGGGAGTTCCTGCCTCCGGGGTTATCTGAGAAGCAAGCCTCGGGTCGCATTCACTAGGCGTGCATCCCGAACCCCGGACAGAGTACTGGAGCCTACTAGGAATAGCAAAGCCGCGAAGATGAAGCACTTCATCCGACGAAGCCAACCCCTGCAGGCCCATCAGCTGTCATGCCAGCAAGACACAGCTCACACAAGAAAGCGAATCAGGGAAGACAGTTGTGAACCACCTGTCGTTGTATGGCGTCTAAAGACGAAATCATTAGAGTCATGGACTCCTTCACGGGCATGCTCGAAGCTGGTGTCTGGAGTTCAGGGTCACAGAAGTAATGGGACGGTCTTGCACAGGGCCCGGCGGCGTGTAGAGACTCCCGTGCGCAGAGCGAGAGTAGTAGAAGCCTTGCAACACCAGAAACCAACAACCTCTAAGCAGTAAATTCTCGGAGCCCAAAAACACTGAAACGCTCAACCCTAAACCCTAAATGAAGCCAAAAATTCCAAACGTCTACAAGGTTGGTTTGGGGCATTGGGTTTTGTCGGCGAATGTGACCCAAGGGCCTGTGCTTCTCATTCCGCGCAGAGAGGCGTGTGGGAGCGATTCGCCGGCTCCACAGGAGAAGTCCGAGGCCTGGCTAAATGTATATATATATATATAATGAGATGTACAAATATATGCATATATAATAAATACATATATATATATATATATATTGTATATATGTATTTACAGTATATATATATATATACATTCTACTGTATTATCTATAATATGTGTTATATACGAATGTCATGTACTACTATATTGTGTTACACTTTGCTTCATACAAACTGTATTCTGTCATGCTATCTTTTGCTATGTCGTATGTGTATTATAGTGTATTACACTTATACAAAAAATATGTGTAGACTTAATGCGTAACAGGGTCTAGGGTAAGTCTTTGGGCTTTCGCTTCCTGCATGGCTTGGACTATGCCCAAACTGCAAGGTGACAATGCGGTGGGATCGACGCTTTGATCAATACCCTGCAGCCTTTTCAAACCCATCGCCAGGCATGCGAAGCGAGTTGGCTTTTTAGGGCTTCGGCACTCTAGTCTTCGCTTGGGGTTGAAGCTTGGAACTGTGTGATCCATCAGGGTGAGAGGTCGATGGCTTAAGGGCGTGAGGCTTTGCAGGCTTAGGATTCATGCCTTAAAGGGTAGGTCACCGCAAAAAGTACCTAAACAGTGGGAAACACTTGGAAAGGGTCCTCAGCATAAGGTCCTTTCTGTTCCCCCCACCCGCCCAGCTGACCAACTCACGCCCCATTTTTTCGCGCCCCATTGTGGGATTGAGGGTCTGTGTAGGGCCATGGCTTCAGTAACGTCCAAAACATGCAGCCTAAAGAGGAGCAACAGCAAAAATGCAGCCACAACGGACATTGACATAGCGGTCGTATCGGTAGCAGCGGTAGTAGCGACATGTAGAAGCTGTCCAGTCCTCTGAGAATCACCAACGCCCCTTTTGCATTGGCCCTGTCGGGCATTTGCCCGAGCAAGAACTATCCAGTTGATCCAGTTGTGTTTCATACGTTTCTGTGCAAATCGTTGTGAGAACCTGTTGCTCAGGCTTGTGGGTCCGGGCCTGTCAATTAGGTAATTAAAGGCTCTTCTGTCTATTCGGGGCTTGGGGGGACGATGGCACCGCCATCCGAGACTAAGCTCGCACTGCTACAGTTTCCAGCTCTGAGTTGGCGTGTTGAGTAAACTTGCGCGGACTTCACCCTCAGCTTGTGAACAACACAAGCCCCCGGCTCCCAACCAAACAAATGCCAGATTCACCCTGAACCCATGCCCAAGCCGCAAGCCCCGCATTAAACCCCAGGCTAGCCATACAACACTCGCTGTGCAACTGGGCTGGGTTCAACCTTCTCAAGAAAGGATAGAGCACAAACACATTGAAGATCACCCTCCGCGAAAAGCTGAAGAGAGTCACTCCTAGACGTTCACCCACAACGCTTGATCTACAGCAATCGTGAGATATCGTGAGCAGCTACCGGCGCAGCATCGCACAGAATGAAAAGATCAGAGCCATGAACTCCCAAAGCCCAAGTAGGGGCGGACGTCAGCTGGACTTGCTGAAAAAACCCAATAATCCCCCAAACCGCAAACTCCGCCACCTGCTCCAGCAAGTGCTAGGGCAGCACCCACTGCCGGACCCCGCGCAGCTCCCATGGCGGATCAAGTTCAGAGTTTGCTTTTGACACCGTGGGGTTTAAAGCTTCTGGTTGGTTCAAGACTTCGATTACCGCAGAGTTTAAGGCTTCTGGTTGGTTCAAGATTTCAATTGTCAATCTGACAGGATCGGAACAGATCGAGACTTGCTGGCTGCTGTCGCGCCAGAACAGCACGACCAAAGGGAGCTGTTCAGCCGCTCGGCATCAGAAGGGATACTGATGGACACCAGGCCAAACTAACTTGTGTTTTCCAGAAACTGTCATGTCATCCATACCCTTCACGTCCAACGCTTGCGACCCCTCCTACATAAGTTGCACTGGCAGGGCGGTGCCTGCCTTGAGAAAGAAAGACTTTAAGAGCGGAGCTCATGCTTGTGCGGTCGATGGCAACAAGCAAGCTTACCGGCACCGCTGAGTGACACATTGCCTTGCCCCGGGAAAGGGGAACCTCGGGTGCCGACTGTGGCACCCAACGTTCACTGGTTTCCGTTTCTTTTCGAAATCGATGGTCTTTTCCATGTCCATGTCACAAAGAGGCCTTAATAGCACGAAAAGCTGCGGAGAGCTCCGGATATCCTGTACGTACACTAATCAACCAGGCAGACCAAGCAGTCACTGGACACAACTATCCAACACAACCTGCTACTGCAAGCGTTCGTGGAAACATCCGTTCCACGAGATACGCACAACTGCAAGAAGACTTGACTTTTGATGGCATCCGCGCTAAGAAGACATCATGTTATGCTAGTGACTTCACAAAGCCTTCAAAGTCTGTGCAAAAGCTGGCACTCACAAAAAAACACTGTTCACGTTTGCTGCTGCGGCTGCCCTGGCAGCCCACAGCTTCTCCTGGAGGACAACGACTGCAGCACCAAAGCGCGGGTTGTCGCGGTACACAGTGACTTGGCCAGCCTGAAGATCGAAAGCCACTGTGAGAAGGGTGTCCTCCTGTGTGGCGTCCTGGCGGCGGAATATGGGATATTCCCTGTCACTGGTGTCACCCAGCATGTGCAGAGCTTCCGCCAAGCTTCCTGGCTTTGGCTTAGCTTCGAAGGTCGCTCGTCGGTGCTTGCTGCTGGTCAAGAAAGAGGTCGACTGCTGAACTGTCATGCGGAGGTACTCGTTGGCATGGAACCAGGTCCCACTCACCGTCTTTACATTGGACTGCCCGCCCGGCGCAGTCTCTGCTGTCAGCAATGTGGAAGCAACAGCACTGACAACACCAACATTCAAGTTCTGCCCCAGTGCTAAATCACGAGGTGAGGCCAGCGATACTGCCTCCTGTGCCGAACGTGCCTGTTCGAGCACATCACGACAGACAAATGCCACGGCAACACCGCCGCCTGGCTTTAACTCAAGCGGATACAAAACGTTCCACGTCATGGCCACTCCGTGGCTGTTCCAACCCGGTGCCCAACCTGGCAAGACCCCAGGGTAGGTGAACGAAACGTACGAAACGCTGACAACTGTAGCAGAAGTCGAGCGCCAGGTTTGCCGGACAAGGTACATCTTGTCGAAGAGGAAGCTGTCATAGTCCTCGTTGTGTGCGAAGCCGGCCACACCCTCCCGGACCACCATCACGTCCGTGCAAGCGTCAGGAACTCCTACTTTTGCAGATGCGTCGCACACTCCGCTGGCAAGCGCAGTTTCCACCTCCTGTCGTAGGTTGGCGAGAAGCAGGAAGTCCCGCGGTTGCCCGCTGCCTTCTGCCATGCCATATACTTCCTGCATCAGGAGCGGGTAGCGCTCAGAGTTGATCTCAGCCAACGTCTTGAAGATTCTTGAACCAGTGCTGTTGACGGGTGAAATCTTCTCATAAAGCTTATGGAGTCTGATGTCCGACCTGAATGCCTGGCCAATCAGCTCGGCGAAACGGGCACCCAGCTGCTTCCCGCAATCGAAATGCCCTTTGGAAGTGTTCGGGCAATCGAATGCAGCTTCAGGAAACGGACTCGGTGCTACCTCACCCGCGTGGCTTCTCAAGCCCCATAATATGGCGGTACCAAGGCAGACCACTCGCCTTAGAGGCCATGATACACTGTCGTGAACATAACCTGGAAAGCTGTGATAAAATGGCAGACAATGAAGTAGCCATGCTGGAGAATGATACCATAAAGCTAGATTGTATAAAGCTGCTCAGCTACTGCAGCTAGACGGCAAAGCTTGCATCCGGAGTCGGCACGGATACCAAGCCCTGATCGGCTCCACCACACTCGGTCAAGCGGCCATACTCCACGTTGCCAGTATCGCTCGATAGGACTGCAAGTCTCTAGTTAGGCCTGTGCTGTAGGACTTGGGGGGTCTGAAAAAGTGTTCAGAATTAAATTGCGTGCGCATCTCCGATGAACTGAGTGCCTGCAGGCTGACGGAAGTGTGAAATCCCAACGACCCAGGATCACGTCAGCAGTAGCAGGCTGTGAACTCGCCCCGGAGTCCTCCAACAAATGGCTTCCGTAAATCAGCAGCCTCAGAACAGGCACAGGCTCTTTGCGAATCCAACCAGTCCAGTAAACATGAGGTCAAGCATGTGGTTGCACACAAGGGGCTCAGAAAAATGGTTTTTCTGGACAAGACGCGGGGCACAAGCGGCGCCAAAAGCCAAACCACAAAACCCACATGCAAAAGCGAAGTATCGATGCCCACATCCGAACAAACAGCCGCACCTTCCTTATTACATCTTATTACATTGCCCTGACCGCATGATGGGTACGATAATGTCGACTTTTGTGCATCCGGCTCTGCTTAAATGTCGTGAGACGCGGAAACCTGGAACGGCATGCATTCCTCGCTCTGTGTGTGGAGGCAACGTTTCGCATAACCAGCCCGAAGCCAACCCAAACACCTTGCAGCATCGAAATACGTTCTGCCGCCTTGCGTTCTCATGAACAGCCAAGGGGGACGCCATTGAAGAGATCCCCGGCCTAGAGAGTGAACAGGCAAGTAGGTGCCTGAAAGCCCGAAACACCTCTAAACCCAATATCGAAACTCGCTGAGTCTTGACCCCATCGTCCGTACATGTCTTGCCCTTTGAAGTCCAGGATCCCAAGTTACGAAGAGAAGGCCCAGCAACTTCTTGGGAACGCAGCCGCGGATGACGCAGGTGCCTGGGAAGATTGCAACTTCCGGTCCCGCAATTCTGTTATAAAGCTCTCGCAAGCCAGCGCTGAAACCCCCAAATCCGAAACCCAATTCCCACCAAAACCACACCCCATAAAACTCCTGTGCTCAGCTTCGGGCCGCCCAGTCCCCCTGCTGTGAGCTTCGTGCTAACAATGGCAAAAGGGAGTTCTGCAATAGCCACCTGTTTCAGGATTTTGGGTTTAAGGTTTCAGCTTAGGAATTTGGGCGTCAGATCTTAAGCACGTGACCTGTCCTGGAAATTAAGGGGCAACGACGGCAACGAGGTGACAACAACTGCTCTGACTCTACTACGGCTTGCGCGATTGTAAGAGCTATTGGGAAGGATCATTCCTGCATACCGCCACCGGGTCACGCTGCCCTCACCACCTGAACCGCAATCGAATAATAATCTCCTGCTTCTTCTGCATGTTCAATCACCATCAGAATCACAGGCAGCACCATCAGCATCAACATAAACATGGTAATATATGGTAATGCTTGCCTTCGTCATCCTTCGCTCACCCAGCATTTGTCATCGTTCATCATCAGCGAGTAGCCATCAAATACAAGGCAATGAGCATCATTGTCACCTTCTCCACCCTCGCCGCCATCATCATCACCAGCTTCACCGCACCAGCCCTTTCAGCAAAAATTACCTTGACTGTCGTTGCACTCGCAGTCTCGCAGTCGTTCTGACTTGTTCTTGCTGCCGTCGCTGAGATCCAATTCGCGCCAAGAACTTCACGAGTGGCTCAGGAGCCAGTGTCCAAAGTCGCGCTGAAGTCGGGGGGTAGCTTCGCCAAAGATCCTATACGTTGCAGAAGCAATTCTCAAGCTCTTCATTCTGAGATCCACACCCAACGAAAAAGGCGTCAAGCACAAGAACACGTCCTTAGATCGAAAACCTCGGCCCGCAACTCATTCCACCAATCCGTGGGTTCATAAGTCTTTAACCACTCACAAAATACCCTCAAATTGACCAGCTACTTTCCCAATCGAGACGCAGTGCTCGCGATTGCAAGGGGTTTGGTGCCAGGATGAGAACCCGCAACTGGGTTCCCTTCCGACCTGAATCGTTTGCAGTTCATTCGTGTTCAATTCCCTTAGCCTCCAGGCCAGGTCTGCAACCCGAAACCATAACCTCCCCCGACTCCAAAGGTCTGCAGAGGAACCCGAACACCGATACCCACCTTGGCGCCGTACTGCATCGCCGCCCACCGCGAGCCTCGCACGCCCCCACTGCCGCCCCCTATGGTGAAGAGGTCGAAGTCGTACCTGTAGAGCTTGGACTCAGATCAGGGTCAGGCTTCCATGACTACCGGACATAGCGCCTTCTGAAGATTCAAGCATCAGGCTCAACAATGAGATTATCATAATGAGTGCCTTCAAAAGCAGTAGCACATAGAAACAGTCGTAGCGACAAAGGAAAAGGCAACAACATGTGTTGGTGGCAATGAGGACCTCGCTCTTGCTCCTGTAAGAGACGTCTACTTTCCGATACGGGTCGAGGATCGCTTGTGCTCACCCTGAGGCTCGCAGTTCAACGGTCGGCAGTTAGGAGTTCGCAGGCCCGAAGCATTGTACCCTTTTTGGGTGTGCGCAGATTGAAACTTGGAGAATGTCTAGGAATCGCAGCACTTCCCGGGCTAATCAGCCCTGGAGCCCCGCAGCCTGTGCGTTTGGTTGAGACTCTAACTACGGAGCGGGGTAAGAAGGTACCTCAAGAAGTGTGCATGGATTATGTTGATGGGCTTCTTCAAAACAACAAGCTGGCTGCACCGTGCAAGCTAGCCTTATGGCTTATGGGATTCCAGCATTTCATCGTAAGCACAATCTTTGAAGCCCAGCATGTAGGTCCTACTCATTGCTAGGATCCTCAATCAATCCTGGACCGTATAAGTATGCTTCCCGAAACTGAAAAGTGCCCAAGTGCAGGATTCAGGGCGCATGGTATACTGGGCTTAGGACCAAGAGGAATGCCTATGAAACACCATATAACCAGAGTGACCTTCATAAGTTCGATAGAACCTAGGCCTCGTCTCTAAGCTCCCGGCTTCTCGGAGGCCGCTACCGCTGTATGCCTGACGACGAGCGCGGCTTCTTTTTAGGATTAAGCTCGGCCATGCATGATGCATGCCCTGTCAAGACGTACAACCAACGCTGAGCTATAACAAGCCTACCAGTAGATATGCCCACAGCACCAAACCCGCGATACTACTACAATACTACAACTGTCAAGATTGCAGGTATCATGCACTCTCACTCCAACCTCCGAGCGCTATGCCATCCAGGAAAAGGCCTGCGCCGCCTTGCAGGTTTGATGTCTGATTTTCTGGTATTTTGCCGCGGGAATCTGAAGGAAGACTCGCAAGGGGTTGTCGTTAAGGCCTTAAGAGTTTAATGTCCTCAGAAGCTTAGGAGGCGACCGGCTCGCCACCGAAGCCTCACAAGAGGCGTCAGGGCAGAATTTCTCACGAAAGACCCTAACTTGGCCCAAAACCGACTGACCTCCCAGCTCCAAGTGCACCCAAAACCTGGACTGGGTAGCGGCCCTATAAAGACCAATCACTTGCATGTTCAGGGCTCCATCTCTTCAATTCCCTTGAGGCAGCACGAACGTGCAATCTGTTTCGGCTCCAGCTCAGCGCTCAGGCTTGGGAGGTCTGACTGAAAGTCTGCGGTGTGCGAGTGATGGCTTTCGTGAAGTATTGGGCCTCTCAGGTGTTTTTCGGCTTCAGGTTGCTTTTGTCGGCAACAAAATAACGAATCCTTCATCGGCCGACCACTCTCAATGGTCCCAATCCCTGCCTCACCTGCAGGCACAACTTTTGCCAATCCGACAAATTCGAAACCTAACCTCAACAAGACTTTAATTGGATTGAGCGTCCGAGAGAGCTGAGGCCCTGCCCTAGACACCTTGTTTGATCAGCACCGAAAGCAGCCTGGAACCCTTTCACCGGGACCAGACTCTTCAAACTCTGGGGCGCTCGCGGCAGCCAGGGCGCCTGTGAGAAGGCCCCTTGCCCCCAGGAGCCCTCGCGGCATGAGGCAGGTCAAGCTTGCGGACCTTCTTTCTGGGTGAGCAAACTAGGCCCTAACTAGGCTCCATGTAGGGGAGATATCGCGCTGCCTGCACCGAGGCGGGAGAAGCGGGAGGCGGAGGAGCTCGAGGCGCTAGAAACCAAGCCTGAACGGAGCGTTTGACGCCTCATGAAGCCATGTGTGCGGCTCCGATGTCGCAGGCCAGGGCACACGTTTCATGCACAACATGCGAGGTAGAGCGACGGCACGACGGCTGCACTCGTTTTGACTTGAAGCACTAAGCCATGTCAACAGTGTCGGTCTTCTCGTCAATTAGCTGCAGGGCAAGCTGGAAGAGCCTGGCCGGACAACGCTTCAACAGCTGCAAAGAAGTGGCACAGTGAGAGCCCAAACCCCAAAAGTCGAGGCGTCGAAACTGTCCTGCGACCTGGAGATATGACTCCCCCTTGAGGTGGAGAACGCCAAAGAGTCCCAGGAGATTCTTTAAGCTCATACCCTGTGTTGTGGGTGACGCTCAGAGACGTAGACACAAAGAGCTACACAGATCTGATGCCAACGAAGAATGATCCTAGATAGCTGCAGGTGGACAGCTTCATCAGGTGCACGTATGTATGTATGTGTGTATGCATGCATCATGGGAACACATCTATGCATCTGCCACATGCCAGATGAAAGATAATTGTATCTAGGTCTCACATTCAAACTCAGAGAACATTCGTGAAACGGTCGCATCTACATGTCAATCTGCAGTACTCGTGGCAACCCGAACCAGATCATTAGGACATGCCGGTACTGCAAGGATGAAACAATTCAGCACGCCGATAATGCTTGACACACATGTGCCTTGGTAAGGTCACCATGTGAATGCTATCACCCGCATAGGAAGCCACGAAGACAGATTCTTGATTTCCGGACACACTCACGGATTCAGTTTAAACACATCGATGCAGCCCCAGATGCTGTGATTAATAAGGCTTGTGTTCTGTGGTGTCAAAAATGGATGTCTG